GAATGGAGGTTTTACAAAGGTTAACACCCTTACTTTTTGACTAGTAACTTCTGAACGTCTCCAGAGAGAATGCAAATGTGGCGAAACAATCCGAATATATGAAAGGAGAAACGTAGGCGAACGTTGTGACTGTGGCGATACCCTATTACTGTCATTTCCGAGGAAGCTTTTCTATTGGGTTAGCCTTGAATGCCTGATGCAGATTATGTAAGACCTCGCTGAAATCGCGCAGGTTTCTCGAGAAGGAACTCATGTTAATCATCATTCACTTGGGATCATGGAACAATACCAATAATTTCCGTTAGAATGGTTCGCGGCCATTCTCGAATTTAAGTCTGCGCTTGATTAAATTCGTCATCTTCAGAACCAAGAGACGATCATCCGATAATGTGGCAGTCAAGAATTACGAACTGAATTCTGCTTTACCGCAGATACCTCCTCGTCATTCATAAAGACACTGGGACAACTGAAAGACTAATTTCGTAGCCAGCAGTGGAGAAAAAGAGTATAGAGCAGAGTATTGGAGGAGTGTCAATTTGCATTAGTGGTGCATTGATGATGAGGACAAATTCAACTAATATGAAAGAAATCAGATGTTTGAAGTGTTATGGCGTATGCGCGTTACTAAACTTAACTTACAATTCAACAGCTTAATCGTTGCTCAACGACTCGGCAGGCATCAGTGTGCTCCTCGTGGCCACCATGGTTGCTGCGTGGCTAGCTGTTGAATCCGAAGAGAGAGGCTAGTGATATAATCATTGTATAGGGTTCATATGACTCTAGATGACTTAAAACAAGTCTGTGAGAAAACAGAGATATTTTATTACGAAGACTGAAAAAAGATGAGAAGAAAACGGTATCATTCCTGAAAAGTGAATACTAAAGACTGTTCGTATTGATTCGTACTCGCTGCGATGTAGACTTTGACTTAATGAAGGACGGTGAATGATATGCCGAAAGAAAATACGACGGCGCCGAATAGAAATAAGAACTTAAAATTGAATCGAATATTATATTTTTTCTGCTGATAAAACATAAGTGGCATCACTCATCGTTAGGATCCTTGACTGAACAGTAGTTGGAGCAAATCTCTGTCATTCTACACATGACTGTCCAGGCACAAACCGAACATCGTTGATCATTTCTTTTAAAGAATTCCTTACACTTTACTGTTTGTTTTATGTTGCCTGTAGAGCGAGCAGACAGCAGAGCCAAATAAATGCAGTTAGAAAATCACATAAGTGTAGGTGAAAAACGTGATCAAAGTCAGGCATGTAACCAAAATCTGACCAGAAGATGACCCTTATTGATATTATCTTAAAGATTTATTTAAGAGACTCTTTTTTCATGTAACTGTATTCTCATTTCAGACATTATTTTTACGAGTAACGTAGAGAATGGTTTGACTGGTTAAACCATTTTGGCAGCTAATGCGAATGTGATTGAACCTGCGTGTTTTCAAGATCGTACAGTTTCATTCTAAAATTCATGAAACGGCTAAGTAGGAAGAGAATCGAAAAGAACTCATTTCTTACGTTCACGAAGAATGTATACTCTACATTCAAATCTGTCCTGTTCGACCCAGCGTACACATGGCGTATGGGATGCATTTTGCTTATGGTTGAAATGTTTATCTGCGTATGGGTAATTAACTCTGTTTCCTGTAAGTGACTTTAATTACCTTTTTATTTGAACAGTGGGGAATTTTAGATACAGAAATCGACTGGAATGCATACATGCAAGAAGCGGAGGGATTTTTAAATGGCAGTCGCGATTATTCGGTTCTGAAAGGTGACACAGGTCCTCTTGTGTAAGTGTTCTTTTGTGCATATTTTGTAATTTTTGCAGATTATACATAAATCTAGTTTGCTCACCTGTTTAGGCTTTGCTAGCCTTTGATGACGATAAGAAACAACAGTGACAACATCCTGTTATTTTTGAGAGTATTTCTTGTTGCGAAAGTTAGTTGTCTACTTTTTTGCAAGTAGTTTTTCGATTGTATCATAGCATTGTGCAAGAAACCAGTGTAATAATAAGCCTCGCGATTTCGTAGAGACTTTTTTAGTTTTATATCAGTTGTTGGTTAAGTAGAAAATTTACTTGTCTGTTGGTACTTTGGTATTAGTACTGAAATTACAGCCAAGATCACTTTATTCAACTCAATTAATATAACAGATTTCTCCCCATGGAAGCATTCCACAGGCTCCTTTGTCCCTGTTTTGCAAATTTTCGTAATGCAAAAGGGTGCCGTATTTCGTCTAATTAACTTTCATAGAATTTAGAGCTGCATTTGGTTTCGTACAAAGCCAAAACGTTTGTAGAATCTTAAAGTAATGTTATGTGAAATCTGAAGCATTGTCTATAATGTGCAGGAGACATGAATTAACCATTATGCAATTTAAATCGAATTAGACAGTTATTTTGGTTGATTTTAAGTGAGTTTTGTGATTACTCAGGTAAATATATAGATATACTTTGCGTTTCTTGCAAAGTACTCATCCCATTAGTTGCCGAAGTTCAAATATTGCCGATACTCCTTTGATTTGTTCTCCCAAAGAGGAAAGCCAACATGCTTCTTAACTTGCTTCGATTATCTGCAAATGATATCTCATCTTTAACCTCAATTTCACAACTTTGTTTTATTGTAGGTACCCTGCAGGCCACGAATATGTTTTTTCAGCCTTTTACTTCGTGACGGATCGTGGCCGAAACCTACGTTTTGGTCAGTACATCTTCGCTGCCCTCTATTTGCTAACTTTGGCTATCGTATTCCGGATCTATGACAAATGTCGAGCCGTAATCCCCACTGATCAGTAATCCTCAGTGTTCAGACGTTACCTCTGCCGTTTCAGGTTCCTCCGTATGTTCTGATTTTCATGTGCTGCACATCATACCGCATACATTCGATTTACGTTCTGCGTATGTTCAATGATCCAGTCGCTATGGCCCTACTTTACGCATCTGTTTTACTGTTCCTTAAGCAGCGATGGACGTACGGCTGCATTCTTTACAGGTATACGAGTGTTATTATTCGGTACGATTGGGAAACAACAAGAAGAATGTTATGTAAATAAAGGAATAAAACTAAGATTAAGTTTCTAATTCCGTGTTTCACGGTTAACACTTGATGTAATGGTGGTTCAACATTTCAGATCAAGTAACTTCACCTACAAGGAGAAGTTATGTAGATAGCACTGCCCTAGACTAATATAGTTTTCATCCTTTTTTTATTCTTAGATATCGACGACATTTTAGCATGGTTTGTGACAAAACATTCGTCAGGATAATAGACCTTAACAGACGTTTCACAGACTTCTATATTTTAGCCTTGCCGTTTCAGTGAAGATGAACGTTTTGCTGTTTGCTCCGGCTCTTTTTGTTCTTTTGCTCGTTTCCGTCGGATATTGCCGCACATTCATTAACATCTGCTGCTGTGCATTTGTGCAGGTAAGTTAGAAAGAGCGCTTAATGTTTTTGAATGCAAATACTTATTGTTACAGGCATAATATTCCAATAAACTCTATCAATTTTTGCTTACAGCTTGTTCTGAATTAGTGAGCTGTCAGATGGGTCAGGGAACACTGTTTAAAGCTATAGTAATCTGCTTGTCATCCAACTGGCATCACATGTTTAAATCATTCACTGGCACATATTTTAAGTGATAATATTGATGTTGATGATACAGATACACACACAGGAGAATCAAGGCGATGCACTGCCGTAGAGCTCATCCATCCAACAGCATGATAATAGATTGTGCAAGCTCTGTTATGAACACACCAGAGTACTCACTGTCCCTATTGTTTGCAGATCAATGATTTCGACTGGTTACATCGAGGAGCATGGAATCCTTGCTCATGGAATTGGCAGCTAGTAAGAAAAAATTTTACGCTGCGCTTGGATTTGAACTGCCAAAGTTGTAAAGTGCAGAACCGAGCGACTTCTTTCCGTTGTTGTCTTCCCCCTGTTGTAGATGTCACGGCCATTATATTTTAATACATGCGCTGTATTGATTGATATTGCATCATTTTATTGGTTACGGCAATATTTTTGATTATTAATGTAGTTTCAAGAGCGAGATTTCTTTGTATGCTTTTCCAGAGTATCAAAAAAAACTGTGACGGGTACAAGGAATTGTGAATTTCCTTGAGCATGAAATTAAACCCACGTCAGAAATAACTGGGACTTGCGAGTAATGGGGACAGCATGGTATTCCATTTTGGTCACGCCAGAATGGACGAGATGTTTGACCATGCTGCCTGATCCGAGCACCCCATGTGACTGCTTTTCTCCTTGACCCACTTGATAGTTGATTTTCCAAGGTATAACCCTGATTTCGATTCGTTTTCAGTAGTGATATTTCATAATCCGGCGCTCATTAGATTTTGCAGTAATTTGCAGGTTTAAATCATGAGTTTAAAGTTAAATGCTTTACTTGTGGTTGTCTCGTCGATGTTAATTATTCGATTCTCCCAAATGAAGTCACTGTCACTTTACTGTCTATTTCTCTGCCTTCGCTATCCGCTTCTAGAATATTCTCCACTCTAAATCTGAAAACATGAAAGGTCCTCTGACAGTACCTCAAGACCCAGGGCAAAGAAGACCTCTGTTTAGACTTGCAGTATAATTCCTCTTTGGCTCATTTCATTGAAATCATTCTTAAACATTGTCCGCAACCTAATGATGTCATCCCACTACAATAACGATGAGTCGGTAAATTGTACACAACGTTTCGCTCTGCCAGATAAACATCTGATTCAGGGCGTGCATCAAAAGCTCCCAAGTTTCGAGCTCCATTTCCAGCTCTCATGTAGTTGATTACATTCAGGAAAAACCAGACAACACACTCCAAGACCGAACGTGGTATATACAAGTCACAGCACAGTGACAGGGATGCATGGTTTCCCGTACGATTCATTCACAGTTAGCTAGTACACATCATAAATCTGACAGATTTACATCAATGTGCGTTCGACACTGACTCAATAAACTAACTCTAATATTTGGACATATTTGTAAGAAGGAAAGTACGTCTGTGAAACTGTAATGACAAATTGTGCATAGTTTTAAATAGTAAATATGAAAGCCCGTGCCTGTCATTATAAATGCGAAGGAGCCGAAATATTTTATGCTAATTTAGCATTAATGCTATGTTTTAGCTTTTACTCGGGCTACCGTTCCTGCTTACAAATCCAGTAAGCTATGTAACGCGGGCATTCAACTTTGGGCGCGTTTTCATGCATAAGTGGACCGTGAATTGGCGGTTTTTACCAGAGGAGGCTTTCGTTAACAGCTGGTTTCACATGATACTTCTTGCAATGCATGGCTCGTTTTTGCTGTGGTTTGCAGCAACCAAATGGTTGAGGTATGTAAGGGTTTGTTTGTGCCCTATCTTTCGTTGTAATCTTTCCTTGTAATTTGAAAAGTTATCCTGAAACTAAATTGAATCTTGATTTTTGATTACGGACCTATTTTCAAAGGGTATTGTGTCGTTTATAATTAAATAGAGCATAAACAAGTGGTTAGTGATATGTGTCCTAGTTGAAATTTAGTACAGCGCAGTATCATCATCCAGAATGTAGACGGTACAATATAGTGCCCAATATTAGACTGATTCTTCCGGTGTTTGTATCGTGAAGAATGATAAACGAAGACGGCCTATATGAAATGTTCTACTACGGTAGCGTGTGTACTGCTAAATCCGTGTGGTAACCGAAAACCTGTCATAAACGCTGAATGAGAAAATGATCAAAGGGTAGTTGGAAAAAAAGTTTGAAACCGGTAGAGTTTTGGTTTCCCTTGCCTTTCCATTATGCTCGTCATTTGTGACATCCTTCAGTCATGAAGCTTGTGTTTCGGCACTGATCTCAATTTCAATGTCGTCAGTCAAGAATACTTTATTTCCGAAGACAGATGCAGATAGGTGACCATTGTAGCATGTAGTATCGTGGTGGTAATGATTCATCATCTCTCGACGAATTACCTGAATAAATATTCGAACCATTGGCCCTCCCATTGCGAATCCAATGATTACCGATACAACATTATCATTAATTCGATCGACATTCTCGATCTTCTTCTTCAATGTCAGTGGACCGCTTTAACTATGCTCACAGCAAAAAATTAAGTGTATCTCATCAGTCAAGTTGTACATCACGAAACTGAATGCTACGTTACTTTAAAGCTAAGCCATAAATAACTAAGATCCTAAGAGCCCTTATAAAATTAACGTCAGAACATGAATATAATAACCAGATGGCGTTTACTAACATTCTTATTAAACGAGACGCCGCGTATATTCTTTAAAAAAATCACAGCATTAACTGTTATCTTAGCAGCTCATGTTAAAATCCTAAATCTGGCTTACTCAGTATTGTGAAAGCGTGCATAGTGTTCCAAGTTATTGCAATGATGACCGACTATAGAGAGGTGAAAAATTAAGCACCTTTCATCAACCTTCCTAACAGATTGATAGGCAAAGTTTTTAACTGATTCGGTATTTAAGTCCCTTTTGTAAATTTTCTCTCTTGATCTCTTATTTAGCAGGCATATACGAGCAGATTACGCGATATTTCAAAAGATACGGTTTTGATGTTTTTCTGTAGGGACAGAACCCAAAGAAACCTGTTGTATATGCAGCTTGATCCTCGCCATAGCTTAGGGAATAAAAACGAATGTCGTCTATAAAATTGCATGCAACATCTGCGATGGGATTTATATCGGCAGGACCTGTTAAGTCTTAAAAATTAGATTAACGGAGCAGATAAGAGCAATTGGTTACCTTAACGTTGACTATTTTGGTATTGTTACTCGTTTTGAAGAACGGCGATGGCTAACAGTAATATCATTGTGGTCGATCGACACTGCGACAAGATAAAGCTGTTAATCAGAGTTGTTTCACATCACAGCTGGGAAAATAGGATTTGTAACGATTACATTCACTCCGTTGACATTTCCATAGCGTGATGCATGATAAATCGCTTCATTGGCGACCGTACAGGCATCCCACCAATCAGATCAAGCACAAACTGACTTAGCAATTTGTTGTTTAATTGTCTTCTTTTACTGACGACGACCGATGACAATTCTATCGAAACGGAATTTCTGTAGATAGAATTTTTTTATGTTTCTCATGCTACTAACCATGTAATCCGAAGACATATCACCTTCAGATCATCCCTGGTACGATATCGGTGTGATCTTTAGAGATTATTTAGCTAAGCTACTTGTCTGGTAATAACTTACAGTTAACTTTATGTTATAACAGTTAGGTACATTAATTAAGATCGACTGGGTGCTTTACGAAGTGTTCTTTAATATTCCGCGTTTGGTCCGGAGTAAATTGTAGGTACAATACATAATTGACAGAATGCAGATGCAGATAGGCGATGAACGAAATCAGCAGAAGGGTTTTTTACCGATATCTGTTAAATAGTATATTTTACACATTTTAAAACATGTAGTGACCCAACTTCATCAGCTGAAGCCATCTGTTGTGTACATATAGGGTGTTTCATAAAAAAGCATGTTGCAACTGCCATATCTTTAAATTGTGTTCGAACTGCTCTTTGAAGTAACTTCTCTGATGAACATCTCTTAGAAAGCGTGGAGGAATACAACAGTGCTTGCAGAAAAATATGAAACTGGCATTATCGCCGAATGGTGAGTTAGACATTTCGCTGTTATTCACTACTTCTTTACTTTTCAAGAAATACTCTTCGCAATGTTTACGTCGAATTTCATCGGAATCGCGTTCAGCAGAACGTTGCATTACCAGTTTTATGTTTGGTATTACCACACGTTACCGTTTCTTTTCTGGAAGACGTCATACTCTTCAGTTGTCAGGTATAAAGAGTTTGAAGCAACCTTAGTTGTAATATGCTACAAGATCGTACCAGTTCATCAAGAAGTGAAGCACCCTTTCTCGCCTAGACTTCCCATAGTTTAAAGACGTACATTCTTTAACGTCAGTGACGATTTCGAAAAATAACCTGGCGGAGTTTAAATAATTACTAATTAAAGATATGGCCAATAAACCGTTAGGCTTCCAGCACCAAAAGGAGAATTCAGTGTGCTACTATGGGTGCACTAATCAGACTGCCGACCACGTATTCAGTCATGGCAAAGCAAAAAGTTCTTCCGTGTCGATATTAAACCTGGTCAGTCATACAGTTACTGTCACGCGCAAGAATCAGGTCATATCTTATCAGGGGATCCTCCATCATCCTTTGTTATTGCCACGATGCAGTAACATTGCACTTAAGGTTATAGGCATCAAAGTTACCTAATACATTTTGAAAAGGTACTACAATGTGTTAGAGTTTACTGCAGTATCCTCGATAAAACTGGATCATGAACGAGCAGGAGCTGACGACCTGGGGTCTGAAAAAACTATCAGATTAACTTAGAGACAGACGCCTGATTTGGTTTAATATAACGGCCCAAAACGGAATGAAAATATTTTCAAAATGTTTCTCGCTTTGGAACCTTGCACTTTCCGTAGCCGCGTTGAAGCATAATACAAAGCATGGCAACACATCGTCAGGAACAGAGTTGCTGGCGACAAGGAATGTAACCTTTCTCCCTACACTTAGTGTTGCCTAATAATAATCTAAGATACCATTTTTAAGGGTTAAGCATAATAAATCGTGATTACTCGGCGGCTTAGACTACGCTAACCTTTGATATGACGGCAGTATGCCTACCTGCGCATTAGATTATGTCATTACGTGAGGATTCACTATTTAAAACTGTTGAATATATCCAAATAATAGTTCAAGTTCAAGACTAGGGGGTAACTTCAAACAACAAGGGCCTACAACTGACCCTAGAAGTATACGGAAGCTCTTTAGTCACGTGGTCATTTCAGACCTTGAAAGTCATATTGCAGAATACTCGATGGGGCATAAAGGTTTGAAATCATGTGTTTTATCCCAAGAATGTGCTATGTTTCTGGCAATAGTTATGCGAAGAGATGCAGCAAAATTTTACGCTTAAGGGCAGCATTGAGTGCCTGTCCTCTATTCATGTCCTAGATAGCCAACCAAGCGTACGAATGGTAGGATATATCAAGTTTATAGCATTGTATTAAAAATGTTCAATCTATACTTTATTAAGCAACTAAGGTTTGAATAAGGCGAACACACAGATAAGCTTTAACTTTACAGTGGTCTGTTAAACAAGTGAGATGTTGTGGTTCATGTTTTCGAGTTCCGTGGTCTCTATATCTTGTAGAAGCACACTTGCTTGGGATGAGGAAAATAACCTTTGCCACAGCAGCGAACGTTACCCAGTTTTAATGCGACACCATGTCTAACGTTCAGACATACAAAAATGTGCTACGTTGTTGTTAATACTGTCGCCATTGTGACGATGTCATCACGATCTAATCGTCGGCGATTCACGTTTTTAGAATGTTTCAAACCTGTTCTTTAAATCCTCATCTGGCAATACAGTGAACCACATTTGCCCGACC